CAGACCCAGGTCCTAGAGATGCCCGCCTGTCTCTCGACAGTCCCGAGCTGCAGACTGGGTAGACTGAGGCTGCGAGCGAGCGGAGGGAGCTCCTCCCCCACCCTGCCTCCGCCCGCCCGGGGCAGTTTAGTACCAGTCCTATCCGCCGACCCTTTCCCGGGCCCCCACCCTACCCGTCTCATTCCCAGATCCCGCAGAAAGGGAGCCGAGGCTGGAAACCAGCCAGGGATGGAGGAGAGAGGGCGGAAAAGGTCGTCCCAGGGCCTGGTGCCTGGCTTTCACCTCTGCCCTCGGGCCAGAGCCCCTACTCCTGAACAATACCTAAAGCAGAGATTGCTGGAACCAGCTCCCCCGCCCTCATCCCTCCTTTAAAACAAAAAAGAATTTGGTTTCCCCTAGGCCGGACCCTAGCCATTTAGAGTGGCCTGCTACCTTCTCTGCTCCCGCCAAGACCGTCCCTAGGCTCGCAGCCAACTGCCTGTCCTACTGGGCAGAAGAGTGTTCTAGCAGGCAGCTTCTATCTTCAGGAGCCCACCCCAGTCCTCGGCCCACTGCAGGTCCGGTACCTAGAGTGTTTTCGCTCTTGGATTCTGGCTGCACCGCCTGGAATGTTCCACCCTCTCTCTGCTCTCACCTGAGGAAATCCCAGCTACGCCTAGGAGGGCTCGGCGTGGACTGCCTCCTCCGGGAAGCCTTCGTGGAAGCTTGACCCTCCCCCTCAGCCCGGCTCCCGCTGCATTCTGGGTTCTTCTGAATGTCCTAGATGAATGTTGTCAGTGGCTAGTCCAACCCTCAGGATTCCTTTCTCCCCTCCCCCGGATGCAGTAGGGAGGTGACCTGTCCTGACTAAATGGCGTCTAGGGTGGAGATGATGGTAATGGTAGGGTCCCTTCTTCGGTCTTCAATCATGGGTGTACATGTACAGACAACAGGCAAGGTTCGGGTATTCCCTTCACCTGTGGTAATCTGGGGTCTGAGGGGCAAATGAGATTCCTGACACACAGCTTTGCTATACTGAAGTTGTGGTGGCTGGGGCTGCTCAGGAAATAGTCTGCCGGGCTAGGCGAAGATGCAGGGCACTTGCCTGCCATCTTGAAAGCCAGTTTGAGACCAGCCAACGTATATGAAACCTTGTTTCAAAAAGCAAACCCGTAAACCGAGTGTGGTGGTTTATATCTATAATCCCAGCGCACTCAGGAGGCAGAGGCAGGCGGATCTCTGAGTTCAAGGCTAGCCTGGTCTACAGAGCGAGTTCCAGGACAGCCAGGGCTACACAGAAAAATCCTGTCTTGGTGGAAGAAAAACAAACGAAAAAACAATGGCCTGGCGTGGTGGCACACATCTTTAATCCCAGCTCCTGAGAAGCAGAGGCTGGTGGATCTCCATGAGTTGGAGGTCAGCCTGCTCTACATAAGGCATTCTAGGACAACCAGAGTTACATAGTCAAGCTCTGTCGGTCTCAAAACAAAAAGCAAAAACAACACTACAGAACTGCCCACCAGGCTCTGCAAGTGGCTGAGTGGTCACAGAATTGTCCCTCCAGGCCACACACTTCCAGTATCAGATAGTCAGCCCTGAGCCTGCTGATTTGCAACCCTTGATGACCCAAACATTTCTTGGTACCACCAGCCTTCCCACTTGTCACCAGAGAAAGGATTTTTTTGGTTTTGGTTTTTCAAGACAGGGTTTCTCTGTAGCTTTGGAGCGTGCCCTGGAACTCACTCTGTAGAGCAGACTGACCTCAAACTCACAGAGATCCGCCTGCCTCTGCCTCCCAGGTGCTGGGATTAAAGGGATTAAAGGCGTGCACCACCACCGCCTGGCAGCAGAAGGGTTTTTAGTCTTGGAGACACATCTGATGTATTCGAGTCTCGCCTAAACTTTGTGCAACTGAGGATGGCTTTGACTTTTCTGATTCTCTGACCTCCACCACCTGAGTGCTAGGATGACAGTCGGGTACCAGCATTCAAGATTTTAAGTAGTGCTGGGGATCGAACCCAAGGCCCTGCATTCTAAGCGAGCACTCTGCCAGCTGAGCTACCTCTCCAGCCCAGAAAGGGCTCTGATGATGGCTGAAGTGCTGTTCCACTTGCCAGCTCCTGTTTCCGATGCATAAAATGGGAGCACTGGACCAGAGAGCCCAGCCAGCTGCACATTCCTTGCCTTGGATTCTGCAAGATGCTGATGAGGGAGCTGGGCAAGGCTGGGCTCTCGAGTTAATGAGGTTCTGGGGGCTACCCAGGTTTGCATCCTGCCGGGCTCTGTATCCAGGAAACCAGACGAGGCTGAAAGCAGGGCAGGGAGTTGGCACGAACTGCAGTGGGGGCTTAGAGCAGGGAACGTGATGGGCGAGGGAGTCTGGCAAGCGGGAGGAGAAGGAGATTAAAGGGAAAAAAATATATAATCAAATAAGTGATGTATTTTCTGCAGAAAAGCATTTCCCTGTCCTGGGATAGCTCACCAGATGTTGCCCAGATGTTGCTGGTGATGGGGAAGCATCTCCCTCAGGGATCTCATCTGAACTCTTCCTGTTCGTGGGGAATGAAGGGTCTGTTTCAAGGCAGGCAGGGTGGGGTATGGAGCACTCGTCTGTAACTATGGCATACACACACACTGTATAGTGTGTGTGTGTGTGTGTGTGTGTATGTGTGTGTGTGTTATGCAAAAACAACCACACATCCTCGGA